TACTTACATAAATAATAAATTTATAGAAAATTACATATATATATATATATATATATATATATATATATATATATATATATATATATATATATATATATATATATATATATATATATATATATAATATATATAGCTATGTAATGAAAAAAGGAGATTAGAAATGGAAAAAAAAAAGAATAACCCATGAATTCTATTATGCCACAATAAGTATTTTTCTTTTTAAATGTGCGATATGGAATAAGAGCCTAGGGTTGGGTGGGATCGGCATAAATAAATATATGTGTACATTTTTTCCATTTAACACAACATGTAACATTAACATTTGAATTTACATTATTATATAATAATGTAAAAGTAAAAAATTTTGTAAACTAAACTAAAAACAAAAAAAAAGTAATATGTTCTATGTTTTTTTTTTATTTCTCTTTCTTATTATTCTGGTTTTCTATACTTTTTACTCTTTTTTTTTTAACTATTGTAATTTTGGTTTTAGTTTTTTTTTCTTGCTTTTTTTTGCATTTAAAAGAGAAAGAATATACAAATTAATTCATTGAATTTAATTCGTGTCTGGGGCGAAATTATCAAAACGGAAATATTTTCATTGTTTTGTGTGTTTATAAACCTTATAATTTTTATGTATATGTATGTATATTGTATATAGGTACTATATATGTATATGATTTAAAATATACTTACATAATTTATATGAGCAAATTATAATTTGCTAATATGTAAATATGTATGTATGTATGTATATTTCTAAATAATTTCATTATATTATAAAGTATGTTTTGTGCCATTTATAGCTGTATAGGAAATATAGATGGCGTAAAATACGATGTATATTTTTTCTTAACTGTTGTTATTACTTTCAACATTAGTTTTATATTTTTTTAATAATTTGTTCATTATACATTCATGCATTGTTATGTATATGCAAATTTTTGGTATGCAAAAAGATTTAATATGTAATTGATCTATGCATTATTAAGATATTTTTTTGTTGTTGTTGTTATTTATTAACATGCTTTTTTTAATGTTGCAACATATTTTGTATGCTTGCTGCATAAAATTTTATAAATAAATGATATTACACTTAGCTGCATTTTATAAAAATAAAGCATTCATAATTCACAATTTTTTTTTTCGATTAGTTATTTTGCGTTTATTTAAATTTATTATAATCAATAAGATTGAAATTTCTCAAAAAGAAATTTAATTTAAATAGAATTTAAAGAAATTTTGTTATTTACAAAAAATTGCATACATTAAGGCGTATGTTGTTCAAAATACTTAATGATAAATAAAACAATCGAAATTTATACTATTAAAATAAATATTAAAATTCATCATAATTAAAAAATGTAAAATAATAGTGTTGTTCAAGAAGTTGGTAAATATTTGACAAAAGTACGAAGCAAAAAATTTTAGGCAACGGTCGTGCATCTTCTGTTTATTTCGTTTGAACACGGTCTTGTGTGTTGGGAGATACAATTTGTTTATTTTTTTAATACTTATTACTATCAATGAAATGTTCAAAGGAGGTGTTTTCAAAATTATATTTTTTATCTTGTTTCTAATAAAATTGCCATATCTTAGTGACTATAAAAGTAAACTGTATATAGTACTTAATTTATCAATATTTTACTTAATTTATGCTAAGTAATTAAATAGTAATTAAATTAATTTTATGAGCGTTATAAAGAAATTAAATGATTATATTGAAATAAGCAATCATAGAATTTATTTTGTAATGAGAAATTAATACAATATAACCATATGGAATAGCGTAGCAATGTACTGAATTTCCCATATATGTGTTTAATATTTTTGAACAGTGTGATAATATTTAGCTAATAATAGCTAAATATTGTCACACTGTTGTGGTCATCTAAATCTACTATTTTAAAACAGATAACATCTACCATAAACATCTGTTATAAAAACAATTTTTTACATAATACACATACCAATTATAATAAAATCAAAGTATAAGTTTGTATGTGCATAAATTTACAAATGCCTTCTATCAATGCAGTTTTTCCGTTCTATTTTTCAAATAGAATTTTATATACCTCAAGCATAAATGTTCTTATTTTATCTTGTTATTTGTTCTTTTTTAATATAATTTTCTTGATTTTTAGATGTTTCTTGAGCCATTAGATGTTTGGTTAACAACTTCACGACAGAGTGTGCATTGTAATGGTGCATTGACTTCTATCAGCGTGCAGATCTTCGTAAGTAAAGAAAAAATTTGTCAGGCGTCGATCGTAATGGCAAAATTTTCTAACTCTAACAGTATTTTATTGCAAGATAAAGAACGCCAAACTTGCGTTTTTAAGTTTAGTAATAGCTTTGAGCTGTTATGTTTTATGAAATAAATGTGAATTAATTCTTAGAAAATTCAATGATTTCCAAAAATAAATTTTTTAAATGGTTTTGGTTACCATCTTTCTTGCGCATATATAAATCACCCATTTTATCTTACACAATCAAAGTTATAGTCAACTTTTAATAAAGTCAGCCCAAAAGAAATTTCCGTTTAGGAGCATCTGCCTTCTAAGTCGGTTGCAAAAAAGCTCTAAAAGTGCGGTACTATTATTTTCCTTACTAACAAAGATTTATCTTAAAAGAGCAAAGAGCCAAGGTTACCAAAAACAAAAACGAAGATCTACACGTTAGTATATGTCTATGTACAACTATATGAAACACTCTATGTATCATACATAAATATTTAAATGTGATAAGATGTTAATAAACCACTTTAAAATTTGTTTTTTGATTTGTTGCACTTGTACATGTTTTTATAGTAGTAATATTTTGACTATCAGATTAAAATATAATATTAGTCATATTTACAATACACACAAACATACAATGTATATAAATACAAGTTTTATTTGGACGATATTTAAAAAAACATACAAGTTATTCACTATAAACACTCCGATAAATTTCATATTTTGAAAAATTTTAAATTGTAAATCATAATTGAATATTTTGGCAATTAAAAATTAATAATTAAATAGTTAATTAATTGATTCACCCTTATGAAGACTTGCCTTGATGAAGACCAGAAGATAAGTATTTAAACAAAAAATTTCAAACTTAAGATCGTAAAAATACAAATCAAAAATATCGAAATAAAATTCCTCTTTAAATATAGAACATAAAAAATATTAACAAATAAAGTTGGGTCAAACCAATGGTTTGTATTGTAGCACTTTTCCCTTCAACAAGTGAAAATTCTGCTTTTTAATACAGTCTATGTATAACTAACACACTATCACAATTACTTTCATTCTTATACAAAACTATTTCTAGGATTGCATATATTTAGGATGATGCATATATGCAGTCTTTGAAATAAAGCAAAAATTAATATAAAGTGGGGTAAACATAATGCTCGAGTTAAGAAAAATAATTATATTTTTTAATGTCATGGAGTTTACCGTTAACTTTTTGCGTTTATAGAAATTTGAAAAAGCTTGCGGTTTCGGAAATATAGGGTGTCAAAAGTTCAAATTTTACAAATTTCAAGTGTCGATAACTTGAGAGGGGGTGGAGATGGAAAAAAATTTTCTTCTGACGAAATGAACTATTTGTTAATGTTTAAAAGCCCCTAAATTTCAAACTTCTACAAGCTGGGGTCTAGAAGGAAAACGACATCAAAAATTTGGAAAAAAGGATTTTAGATAACGGTAAATTTTAACGACCATTTTGTTTTTCTAAAGTTTGATTATAGTATACCGCGCTAGGGGAAGCAAGCCGCTGCCTTTCTGCGTTTACAAAATTTCAAAAATGCTTAACATATTTATAAGTGTGTGATTTATTTTTGAAAACTATCAAATTACATTAAAATTCCGTACTTCTTTAAATGGTTTTGCTGTTCGATACTTGTGAGGGAACACTTCAGTAAAGTTCGTCTACTCATGGCACTTGGTTATTGGTACTTATTTTAAAGAAATTTTGCAGCTGCTGTAAATATATTTTACGTTATTGAATATAACATACCGATAATTTATTGCTTGCGATTGATATTTTTGTCAAAATATTATTGCATTAGCAGAACTTTATGCTTTATATTGTGGTGAAAATTCAACCAACACAGTATATTTAATTTTTTTTTTTTATTGTGGTCCTTTAATAACCTAAAAATTGAATTCTTATGTAAGCATTTTCTGATCTTTTTGTCGATTAATTAAATTTAAATTTTTATTAAATAATTTTAATTCCCTAGACACAATGTTATATAATATACTTTTTCTCGAATGTCTAATTAATTTGTTTTATAAGTATTTATAATAAAATGGCAATTATGTCGATATATTGTGTATAACAAATCATAATAATATAATAACAAAGTATTTTATAGTTTGTGTAATAAATTTTATTTAGTTAGTATCTTATATTTCATATATATACACATATAAGTATATAATATATAAATATTACAATTATTATGTCTTGTTATAATAATTATATTAACACATAGTGTAATAATATAATATGATATGTATACGAGGGGTCGAAATTCTAATTGTTTATAACACAAAAAAAATATTTATATTAAAATTTTATGAAATAATTTTATAAAAGAATTTTAATAGTCTCAATTAACAGCCTTGCAGAGAATTAAAAGTCTCAATTAACAGTCTTGCAGTCACACTAATAAAAAATACGCCGACAAATTTTCACTCGATTTTTATAGTAAATAAATTTCCATATCGATTCAATATTTTACTTCTATCCTTTTTGAATAAATTCCTTGAATTAAAACTAATATAGCAAGAACAGTTAGAAAAGATATTTAAAAAATTGTTGAGTTTGAAAGGACTTTAAAATTAAAGCTAATTTGTTCCTAAAGCAATACTGAAAACTTTAATGTTACATTTCGTTGAAAAACTTGATTGTTTATTTTTGTTTCGATTAAAAACTTGAAAAAAAAACACTTTTTAATGAATATAAAATTAATATTTTATTATTTTTATTTGTTGCAGTTTTACACACATCAGCGAGTTTAGCGTTAAACGAAAGTTGGGATCCAGATGTAAGGTAAATTTTATTAAATTAATTCAAGGTGATTGAAAATAAAATTTTCAACTCTTTTATTTTAACCAAAAAATCTTATTTGAGAAAAGTAGAAGAAACATGCGTACATACATTACGAGTATTTTTCATATTTTATACGATTTTTTTTCTTGGTAATTTTTCAAATTTGCAATTTAAATCGGGCCACTTATTTTCGATTCATTAAAAAAAAATATATACAAAATATGAATGAAATTCATTATATAATAAATTTATAATTATTCTATAATTATAAGCTGGGTTTATAAGTGTTTAAATAATCTCAATCAACAGTACCCGAACACTCTCAACTTGAGTTATTTGGATTTTTTTCATTATTTTAGTAAAATTTTCTCAAAAATTGTGTTTTCTAAATGTTTAAAATTGTTACTAAATAAGAAAAAATAAATAATGCATAATTTTTTTAGGGATGATATGGAAATGATGTTAAATAAAATAGTTCCAGAAGGTTTGCCATACAGGCATTCATGTGAAGGACCCGATGATATGGTGACTTTTTTTTTATAATTTTCATTCTATTTGAAAAGAAAATATAATAATATAATATCTTTATAATTTTAGCCAGCGCATGTGAAAGCATGCTTTTTAGGCAGCTCATTGACAATCCCAATAACAGATGGTAAATTATCATTAGGCACTTGGCAAGGTGTATGGTTATGTGAGCATCGTGATCATGCTGGTTCTAGAAAATTAGTAATAACATTATCTGGTTGTCCACGTGATTCAGCTCGTAGTCCACTATCACCTGTATCTCCAATCGCTTCTACATCCAGTTAGGGAAGGCCCCGCTCCGCCCGCGATTCTCGGTAATCGCGGGGGAGCGACAATAATGCAGACATCATTTCGTCAACATTAACAACAACAGCCGCAACAAGATCAATAGTTTTATCTTCTGGTGCTAAAGCTCATCATAATTATGTGACTGCAGCATTAACAGCAGCTGCAACAGCAATGACAACCTCTATTTCAGCTAAAAATGATCGTTTATTATTAACAACATTGGCAGCTGCAGCAACAGCCGCTAATACTGGATCATCAATGTTTGTTACAACAGCAACAATTGAACCTCCATCACACGTTCAAACGCCAAGAATTGATGATCGTTTAAATGCTATTAGTGGTGCAATTTGTGATGATGGCTCACCATCTCCATCAACTTCCACAGCTTTAGCTAAGTTTAATAAAATTATTGATGAAACAATGCCGACAACAAATTACTACAACTATTATAATAATTATAATAGTCCAACAACATCATCATTATCTTCGGCATTATTATCAAAACAAATATCATTAGCTGCCGGTCCGTCGTTAATAAAAAGTAGCATTTGTACAGTTCAACCTCGTTTAAGTATAACTACGACTACGACACCTACTATTAATAAAAAATTAGCTAATGACGTAAAACAGTTTGATAGAAAATTTAGCGGTAATATGGAAAATTTATATAATAATACAGATAGTAATTTATCAATAAATTTAAATAAAATTTCAAACGATAATCAAACAAAACGAAATGATGTGCATTATTTGTTGAAACAATTAAATAGTTTTAGTGATATAGAAGAAATAGCAATTGTTGATATAAAAAATACTAATATATCTAATGCATCTATGTTGTCAAATACATTACCGTTAACAACAATAGCGCAACAAAAAACGCCATCGATATCATCGTCATCATTATTATTAAAAACACCAACAATACAGGCTATACCATCATCATCAACTTCTGTAACAACTTCAAAAATAGTTAAAAAAACACCATCCACATCCTCTTTATCATCAATTTCATCATCATCGGTTGTATCACAACCAACTACAACTACAATTAAACCACAAAAGTTACAAACACAAAAACAACCACAGTTACTACCGCAATCTATTACAACAGAAGCAACAGTAACAACACCATCAAAATTAGAAGAAATCAAGACTACTATAACAACTACTACAACTAATAAAGCCGATAAGCAAAAATTCAAATACCCAACCTATAGGCAAAAATCAACAATTAAGTCCTGCCATAATTCTAGTAAACAAAAAACAGTTTTTGAAATTGAGTTAAGTTCAAGTAGCTCCTGTAAGGAACCTATAACTACTATTACAACGACAACCACAACCACAACTACATGCGCAGCTGCCGATATAACGACACCAACATCCGTGCTATCACCAACCACAACAACTAATCAAAAACAACAGACACAAATTACCACTGCCACAACATCACCACATTATGGTGGAGGCTCAGAAAAGCATAAATCAGTTCATGGCCATCATCATAGCCATGAATTTCGTTATACAACAACAAGTAGTTTTACAAAAAAACAACAACAGCATCGTTCAACGGGCGGCTCTGGAGGTGAAAGTCCGACAACTACAAAACCCCAACCTCCAGGTGCAGTAACTACTGTTGTTTATAGCACTACAACACGTATGTCAGGTGATGTAATACAAACTGAAATATTAAGATGTTGTGATAGTCCAACAACAAGTAGCGGTAGTAGTAGTAATGCAACAACAGCAAGTAATAATAGTTTAAATAAACGTTCAAAATCTCATTCAAAGAATACTGGTGCTAGTGCAGGATTCCAACAAGGTATCACCACATCAATTTCTATTAGCAACAGTTATATGATACAAGATGAAACAACTAAAACATCATCATTTTTCAAATGTTGTTACACACCATTAGACCGTTGGCGCGAACGTCGTAACTCAAATTCAGCTGCAGCTGCGGCGGCCGCTGCTGCTACTGCAGCTGCCACAGTCACGGCTTCATCATCAACATCATCAGCTTCTAATGGTGCTAATAATGTAGTTAATATAGGTACAACAACATGTGCAACAACAAATGTTGCCACAACTGTGGTTAATTCAAGTCCAACAATTGTTGTTACAAGCCAGTCTAACATGACAACAATATTAAGTGGAAATGGTTCTGTAGCTACAACAACTACAGTAGCTGGTAATAGTAATTATAGTAATAATAATAGTAATAATGGAACGGGTAATAATAGTAATAATAGTAGTAATAGTAGCAGTGCAACGGTAGCATCTGCGACTAATAAAAATATTAGTAATTTATCTGCGCATGGAGATGCAGTTTGACAACATTAATGAAAATTTAAATAATAATATAATAGGTTTTCGGTAATTAATTAATTATTTCAGAATAATTTTTATTTTACGATTTTGTCTTTAATTTTTTCGTTTATATTTTATTTTTTAAGAAATTGAATTTAATCATAAGATTTTATATGACAAAATAATTAACATTGTAATTTAATTTTATAGAATCAATATGAATTAAATATAAAACTTTTTTTTTATGGGTCAAAAAAGCAGATTTAGATTTTAAGTATAATTCTAACAAAAAAAAAAAATTTGAGAATAAAAGTGAGAGAAGTTATATGGTACGTAGGGAATAAAATATTACAATATGTATAAAATAATATTATAGAACAGCTATAATTTATATAAAAACATGAAAATGAAAACTGTAACGAATTATGATATTAGTAATAACGTTAAATAAGAAAATGTATGAACCTTTAATATTGTTAAAGTTTATGAAACATTTAATTATTTTTTAATTAATATTCGATTGTTTAATCTATTATTTTTGTTTTATATAAATGGTTTAACCACGATTAACCCAAAGTCGGGCACCTGTTACTTTGTTTAGTTTGAAGAAACAAAAAACTATCAAAATTCAAACAATATTATTGAAAATATTCAAAGCTTATGATGTAGGAACAGCAATAGTGTGTATTTAAATTAAAATATCGAAAATATTTGTAAAAACTATAAATTTAATTGGAATTTTTAGGGTCCAGAAATTTTATATGTATATGCATATATATAAATTTCATATCATTTTCTTAAAGAATTTATTGAAATTATTTCTTTTCAATTAATTGCAATAATTGAACTTTTAAAATAATTAACAATAAATATTTATGAATATGTCAAAATTAAGTTTGTTGCTAATAATATTTTCGTTATTAGAGGTGAAATATTTAATTTCTTTGCTACTAAAGTTTATTATTATTTAAATAAAATTATTAAAATAAAATTAAATCATAATATCATAATTTAGCACTGAACAAAAGCAGTTGATTTTAAACCGTTCACATTTAATAAAGCACATTTTACATAAATTTTTTAATAATTGCTTTGATTATAGGAAAAATTATATTTTTATGTTTCATTTATTTTTATTTTATTGCATTTTGAATTTGCACGTTAATGTTTAAGTCTTCATATAATGTACATCTTATATGCAATTTAAATAATGTTACTTATTTTTATTTAATTAATGTTATGTAAAATATAAAATAATACAACTTTAAAAAAAAAATAATATAAGTTTCATATTTAAACTAAATATAAGTTTATCAAATTGAAAAGCACAAGATAGCAAAATAAAAAAAAATAGATTTATAATAATATTTCAATATTGAAAATTGTTTCTCATGAAACTTATTAAAATATTTTTAGTGGATAATTATTTTTCCACATATGTATCATTTATATATACACATTATATTAAAAGTGTCGATTATAAAAAAAATAACTATTGCTGTCCTAAATTTTTTCGTCATGTAAGACTTCACATCTAAGATTTATTCTTTAGAACAGGACATTGAAAATATTAGATCGCTATTACGATCTAATTTTAATTTAGTATATAATTTTAAACTGAAGTAAATAATTTTAATATTATTAAAATATTATTCATAAGCATCATTAATAACGAAATATGATATGATCTTTTATATAATAGCATATTACTCCGGCTTTGTTAATTTAAAAATTTTCGTTTTGTTATTTCTTTTTTATTTGTATGTCTTACCTTTTATACACCATTTATTGAATTTTTAAATATTACTATTATTATTTTTCTGTTTTTGTTTCCAAGTTGAAATTGTTAAACATTTATAAGGGTTGATATTCAGAGCTTTATATTAGATTTTTCATTTAAATATAATAATTTTCGATTGATTCTCACAAATTTAGTGAAACGCGTTTCTATTTTAAAAGCTTACAATGAATTTTTTGAATAGCGGGATTTACTCATTTCTAAAGCATTTCCGTTTCCTTTGGTTTTTGTTTAATTTATAAAAAAAGCTTCAGTTGAAAATCAACTCTTAATATAAGATGAATATTTTAATTTTTCAGAGTGAAAAATTAAAATACATAAATATTATTTAAAAAATACTACTTGAAAATAGAAAGTAAAGAAAAAACTTAAAAAATTAACATAAAAAATTATAAAATTTAAAAAAAAAGTGAAGTTGAATAAAAAAAAAAATCAAAATAAACAAAAAGCATTTTCTTTATTTGTTTCGTTATTTTTTTATTACATTTTCAGTTTTTCTTCCTCAACTAGTTTTTAGCAAAAGAAAAAAATATATATGTATAAATGTATTTATAAATTATAAGTGTATACGTATAAATTTTTTTGCAAGCATTCTGTTCAAAAGACATATATATTTTACACATGCAGCCTTATGTTTTTTTGTATTATTTTAATATCTTGATAATTTGCTTTAACTGTAAATAACATGGAAAAAGAATTTTAAGGAATTGTAAATATTACATAATAATTTAAATAAGTTTAAATAAATTAAATAAGAAAATTGTGAACACAACAAAAAAAAACAAAAGCAAACCAAGAGTTTAGTGAATATTGTTGAGCACCAAGTCCTTTGAATATGTATGAATGTAACGTATGTTCTAATTTTATGCAATCACTATAATGTAAATCTATATAAATAATAATATATATTTAAATAAATATAAAGTTCCTGAGATGCAATCAGTCCAATTTAACTTTTGCAGTAACAAAATTTTATATAAATAGTATCAGCATATAAAAATTATAATATAAAATTATATTTTATATTAATTTTTTGTGTTAGTTTTTAACTTTGATGAGAAAAAAACCGCTTAATAGTAATTTGAAATAGTTGTTAATAATTTAATTTTAAAATATTTGATTGGTTAAAATTTATTCGAAATATAAACCAGTATCATATCATAATAATAAAAAAACTATAAATTTTCTTATTTTGTTTTCGTTTTTTGTAATTTGTTATTCCAATATTCAAAAGCAAAATTGTGAGAAGGAATTTATAATCAAATTTATTTTCAAACTCCATTCAATACTTAGTACACAACTGGTTTAAATAAAGTTCACTAAGAGTTTGGATATGATAAATGGTATAAAAATAAAATATAAAGATAAGTGCAGAAAATTTTTGTATTTCACATTTTTTTTTTTTTTGCTATTTTCATTTTAATTTCCGAATAAATAAACAATTATTGCGAATTATTTTTAAATGTTTAAATTTGAATTATATAGTGCGTTAATTGAATCCTGCCTGGTTCCTAGGTAAATATTACGAAAAAAATAAGTTTAAAAAGAATTCAAAATTAGAAAACATATATTTTTAGTCTTCGAAGTAATGTAAGAGATATTAATAAGAAATTTGTGTACATAATATGAGTAAAAAATATATTTGTATATATTCGAATAATATTTAAATTAATTGATTTGGTGCTCAAAGCTATTATAATTTTAAACGTCTTAATTAAATATAACAACATCTTTATATTTTCTCATAGTACATATTTTATAAAATCAACTAATGTTATATATTTATGTTTTTACTTTATTTAAATAGATTATTAATTTTCGTTTAAAAAAACCCATTTTAAATCACAAAATTAATTTTAATTTTTTTAAACTAAAATATGTAAATCAAATGAAATATTTTTCGATATTTAAATTAGAGGTTCTATCAAAATTCTTTATTATGATTTATAAAATAATACGCGCAACATTCTTTTAATGATGTGTTTTTTTTAAAAAATGATTAAAATTATTTTAACTTATTTCATGTATTAAAATCATTTGTATGAAATTGATATTTTTTGTACTAAGGAAATTGCGTACATTTCTTTTACAGAATTGTTACAAATTTTAATCATTGTTACAAATTTTCTGCTTAAAATATATCAATTAAAATTTATATTATAAGTTTTTTTTTAAAATGAACGTATTTAAAGAAATAAATTTTACTTAAAAGTTTAAAATAAATTTGTTTATATAGAAAATTTAGTTAAAGCCTATGTTTTTGAAATTTTATTTGATGAATAAAATGTTGATCTTTGTATTAAGGTTGACTTTTTTTCAATACTATTTATTAACACATTTTATATACTACTGCATGCTTTATTATATTTATTATATTACACATAATTTCTCTTATATACAATATTTTGTTACATACTATGTATAATGATGTTTATTTTATAATCTGCCTTTTTTTGATATTTTAAGTTACTATTAAAAAAACAATGTTCTACTCTACCATTCTTTTGTTTTGCTTAAAATCAATTTAAAAAAAAGATGAAAAATTAAGATAAGTAGTAAAATTAAAACTATCACCAATAAACTAATAAACTAAAATATGTCACAGTTGCAATATTTCAAATATTTATTGAAATTTTAAAAACAAAAGTTCGTACCTAATTAAAAAAAATTTTTAACAATTAACAAGTTATTATTGTAATATTTAACAGAAAAAAAAAAGTTTTTCAAATAAAAACTTTTTGAAACAAATAGAAAATTATTAAAACTTAATGATTCCCTGTGTCTTTATTTTTTTTTTGTTAAATAGTTATTATTAAATAATTAAAAATTGTTTTAAATCTATTATTGTAGAAAAATTTACAAATTAATCATTTTTGCATAATGACCAAAAACAAAAAACCAAAAAAAAAAAAGAAAATTTTCTACGCTTTAAGTAATTTAACTATACATTTACCTTTTGTAAATTAATTTCCAAATAACCTACTTAAAAAAATATTGATGTAATGTTAAACATTCGTTTGGAAAAAAGCAAAAATAATTATTTAATTTTAATTTCTTACAAAAGTTTCAACAATAACAACTATTTATTTTCTTTTAATTTATTGTACATAAAGGTTATAAGTATTTATAAGTGTAATAGTATTTATACAATTTATTGAAAGTTTTGTTTTTGGTAATATTTTAAATTCCAACAATACTAAGTATATTAAAAGTTAATTTATTTATACAACAACTACATATTTTTTGTTTTATTTTATTAAATTAAATTTATTATGACACAATAAATTGTCAAAAATATTGTTAATTATATAAAATAAAAAAATATTCATATATTATGAAAATTGAAAAATGAAAAATATAATATGTTGAAATAAAATTTGTTATTTATTCGTTAAAAATATTTCAATAATTATTATAAAAAGAAATAAATTATATAAGTACATATTAAATAATAATCTTTTGTTATCACAAAAAAAAAAAACAAAATGAGAAACTCTGTTAATTGAAAAGTAAACCTGATAGTGAAAAACAAACCAATAAAAAAAATTTCATTAATATTTAATTTTAAATTTCTATTTTTTTTTAATAATTTTTGTATATCTACACATTAAATATCTAAAGTACGATAAATGATTTCGTTAAAAAATATATTTTATTAAAATTGATAAATTGACTAAAAATTAAATAAAAACAATCACACATAATTAACAAGATTTAGAATATTATAATTTATTTCACTTGAACGTTATTAATATTATATAGTCAATTTTTTTTATTTTACTCAGTCTTTATTTTAGAAAAAAATTCACTTATGAAAGTTAACAAAAAAACACGACTATGAAAGAAGTGAAACTTATTTCGACCCAAAGTTTTTCGACACAAAACTTATTAGATTTAATGTTAGATATTCAATGGTTCTTGTTATTTATATTCTTTTGATTACATTTTTATTGTTATTTAGATTTAAAAAAAATAAATTCTTTAATTTAAATATTTTTTTTTAATATGAGTAACACTAGAAATTTGTTTTTATTATCAATTCTACTAAAGTATAAAATTGATTTTTCTTACAGTAATTATTTTTTGTGTCGAAATAATTAACTACTTTTCTGTACATTTTTGAATATTGTTAAAGAATCTGCTATAATAATTTTTTGTTAATTCAATTATAAAAACGAATTATATACACATTTTTTATTTTTTATAATTATTATTAAGTTTCGATAATATTGAAATTTTGAAAATACAAAAAAAAGTAGGATAATTTAAAATAAAAAAAAAAAAAACATAAAATTTAAAAAAAAAGTAATAAATATAAAATTAAAAAAAGACAATTTTTATATTTAGTGATTTAATTTTTAGACTTTGTTATTATTTCTTTTGAATTTTTGAATAGAATATTAAAATTGAAACTTTCATTTTGAAAGATTTTGTAACACTGTATAAAATGAAAAGTAAAATTGTAATAAAAATATTAAAAATTAAAAATACTTAGGTACATTTTTTGATATGTGATGATTCGTGAAATTTA